GAAGAAAAGCAAACAAACCATGCAAGACCCTTCAGAAATGCAAAAAAAAAAAGCAAAGCAGAAAGCAAGCAAACCGTGCAAGACCCATCGGAAATGCGAAAAAACCAAAACAGAAAGTAAGCAAACCATGCAAGACACATTGGAAATGGGGAGGCACCCCCCAAAAGCAAACAAACCCCACAAGATCCATTGGAAATGGGGGAAAAAGCAAAAACAAAAAGCAAACAAACCCTGCATGACCCATCACAGCATAGAAACATAATCCCACCACCCAGCCCAAAACCACACTGCAAAAACTACCCACAACAGTTTTTAAAAAGTAGAAAGCAGCACCTTACCTTACCAGGCAGTCTGAAGCCTCCTCCGATCTCACACTCACTAACTGCTGGGGCAGAAGAGCTACCAAGAAGCAGCCTGTTTGCCACTAATGATTAGCAATTTGAATTCCCCGCCTTTCCCCCCTGCTTTTTTCTGGTTGTAACTCGAAGCTCTGGCCACAAGTTGAAGCAAAGTTTTGTGGCCAGATCTGGTCATAACTTGAAATGGTTGTATGTCGGGACATTCGTAAGTTGAGGCACTACTGTACTTAGTTATCTAGCAGTTGTGTCCTAGGTAGGTTTGGTTGTCTCAAAATCTTTAAGAAATATTTCCTGGCCAAAGGTTTTTAACAATTCTGAGACAACCAAACCTATGTAAAAGGGCCAACTGTCTTTTATGCATAAAATATTACAGAAAACTGGGCTTTTAATATATAGTGTGGTAATTAATCTTGGTCTTTAATTAAGCCTTTAGAGATACACCGGAATTTTGTTATGTAGCCTACCTCTGCTGTCTCCCTATCCAGTCTTCCTTTGTTAATTCCTTTTTTTCGTCAATACCATGTTTTCCCGAAAATAAGACTGGGTCTTATATTAATTTTTGCTCCAAAAATGCATTTGGGCTTATTTTCAGGGGCTGTTTTATTTTTTTTCATGTACAGCAATCTACATTTAATCAAATACAGTCATGTCATCTTCTGGTTCCTTCACAGTGGTGGAGGGTGGGGGTTCACTTAACTGGAGCTTATTTTTCGGATAGAGCTTATATTACCAGCATCCTGAAAAATTATACTAGGTCTTATTTTCAGGTTAGATCTTACTTTTGGGGAAACAGGGTAAGTGTAACATCACTTTGTTCTGGACAGTCACTATTATTCATTCATTTATTCATACACTCTTTCTCCTCTAGGAGGATCAGGGTGTCTATTTACATTATATTATTAGGATTAAGTAACTTCAAAACAGTAATATTAAATGTGATATTTCACATACCCACTGATAATGAAAACATCAGATTTTGTTGACGTAAGACTTACAGAATGGTAAACCTCTATATGTATTTATTTGTTGATAGTAACTATCATACTGTGTTTTTAAAGCAGAGGAGAAATCCAACAGCCATACTTTTAATGGCCAAGTAGACATTTCTGTTCAATTTGATTTTGATTATGGATTGATTCACACACAATTGGAAAGTATTTCCAAAGGGGTGGAACAGCTATTACATTGCAGCAATAACTCCAGAGATTCATAGGCTGCATTAAAGACTAATAATTGTAGTAAAGCATGAATTTTTGTGTTACTCATCTGGTGCAAAGTAATTGCCTGATATGAGAGTGAGCTATGCTGATATCTGAAGTGCTTAACACTTTCCAGCTGCTTTAATGCACCATTAAAGGCTGAAAACTGTCACATTCAATTTCAAACTAACCAGAGGATCCTCTGACATCCGAATTTAATAATTTGTTGTATTTGTCAAACTGCTGTTTAACTATTTAATATCTTTTTTTTAAAGTTTTGGCTACTACACTCATGATTTTAAGAATTTTGATTGCTAAAAGTATTTATTTTAAACATAATTTGAGTACTGTATTGCTTTTATTCTACATTATTGCTGTGTATCACCAAGTTGACTATGACTTAAGGTGACCCTATGACTAAATGGCCACCAAAACTTTCTGCTCTCAACAGCCCTGCGCAGCCTTGTAAACTCAAGGCTATGGTGTCCTTGGCAGACTCCATCCATCTTGCATTTGTTCTTCCTCTTTTCCTGTAGCCTTCACCTTTTCTGAACATTTGTCTTTGCCAGTGAGTCTGACCTTCACGTGATATGCCCGAGTATGACAGCCTCTGTTTATCCTTTTTGTTTACAGAGAAAATTCAGGCTTGATTTGATCCAGGACACACTAATGCTCTTTCTAGTGGTCAAGGGAATCAGCAAAGGTCTTCTCAAACACCACACTTTTAAGAAATCAGTTTTTCTTGTGTCACTGTTCTTCACTGTCTAGCTTCCACAACTATATGTAATCAGAAATACAGTAATACGGATGATCTTGGTCTTCAGTTACATGTCCCTACACTTGATGATCTTTTCTAATGCCTTTATTGGTGTCCTTCTGAATCTTAGTCTTCTGATTTTTTGGCTGCAGTTTCTGTTTGAACCAAGGTATAATAAAAACTCTTTAGCAAATTTGTTTCTTTATTGTCAACATTAAAGTTACATAGTTCTTCTGTAGCTATAATTTTGGTTTTTGTAATGTTCAACTGTCATCCTGCTTTTGCGCTGTCTTCACTTTCCACCAGAAATCATTCTAAGTAATTTGTACTTTCTACCAGAAAGATAATGTCATCTGCATATCTTACAACAATATTTTTTCCACTAATTTCCACTCCTAATTCATCTGAGTTTAGTCCGGCTTAACCATTTGAACAGTTTCTTCTGTTATCCATCTGTTTTTGCACAGGAACAGTCTTTTTGTGTTCTTCCATAATATCTGTGGTTTCAATCTACTCTTCTGGTTCACAGTCAATTGAGTTTACTAATGCAAATTGATTTTTAATGTGGAAATGTTATTTATATTGTATTTTGGCATTATGATTCTTTTAGTGTTCTTCTTGAGCTTTACTCTAACGTTTGATATTAATACGGATCAAATGGTTCTCAATGCATTCCTATGGGAAATGCAGATTTGACTTGAGAACTTTTTGACTTGAGAACCGCCTTCCAATACGGATTAAGTTCTCAAGTCAAGACCCCACTGTAGTTCTTCTGTAGCTATAATTTTGGTTTTTGTAATGTTCAACTGTCATCCTGCTTTTGCCCTTTCTGTCTTCACTTTCACCAGAAATCATTCTAAGTAATTTGTACTTTCTACCAGAAAGATAATGTCATCTGCATATCTTACAACAATATTTTTTCCACTAATTTCCACTCCTAATTCATCTGAGTTTAGTCCGGCTTAACCATTTGAACAGTTTCTTCTGTTATCCATCTGTTTTTGCACAGGAACAGTCTTTTTGTGTTCTTCCATAATATCTGTGGTTTCAATCTACTCTTCTGGATCACAGTCAATTGAGTTTACTAATGCAAATTGGTTCTTAATGTGGAAATGTTACTTATATTGTATTTTGGCATTATGATTCTTTTAGTGGTTTTTTTTCCAGCTTTACTCTAATTTTTGCTATTAACAATTTATAGTCAATACCACAATCTGCTCCTGGTCTTGTTTCAGCAGAGAGAACACAGGTTCTCTGTCTCCTACTTCCAGTTACTGTAGTCTGTTTGATTTTTGTTTTTGCTCATCTGGTGACATCTGTGTGTGTACAGTATTCTCTTTGGTTAACTGAAACATGTTTGTAATTTGCATTCTTCTGCATAGCTTCTCTACTGAATATTATGTTGTTTGAATAGTTTCTCTACCTAGTCATTTTCTATTTCCTGTACTTTATTATATATCCTAGGAGTAAGTGCATCCTGGGTGGAGGTGACATAGTGTTCTTAACCACTAGAGCTGATACAGTCCTTAGCCACTGGGGCTGAAAGGAATTGCAGTCCAAAACTTCTAAGGCCACCAGATTTCTGCCTCTGATTGTGCTCTGTTCAGAACTGGTCTATTTTACTGGCAACTTCCTATAACTTTAGATATCCTTATTCTAGTGGTAACTGGTGCTGAAAGCAAAGGGGAATTATTGCCCCCTTCATCTCCCACAAATTTCTTATTTGTACTTCTATCTGGCTTTATCCATATTTCCCCACTTTCTTTACTATTCCTATTTTCTTTACTAATTTCAAAGCCAAAAAAACCTGAGCAGTTTTTCTTTTATTGCAAAAGAAAAACATGGAGCAATTTTCCCTCAAAGCTTTGCTTTTAGGTGTGTTATGTGAGTAACATTACATTTATTCCAGGCTCTGTATAAATTTATTTAAACATCTCAAAATTTTAACATTGCTCTCTGGCCATATGGAACTTCAGTGATGTACAAAGACAATTTGAAATTAAAATAATGAAAACTATTGTCATAGAATGAGTTTAAGGAAAACGTGGAGGGCCCTGTCAAGCTATTTTCATGGTTAATTCAACACTGTGGACTTCCAGGTTACTTTGAAAAATTGACAGTGATCCTGAGTGCAATGTCATGATGCAGAAGATGTTCTTATAATATTACTAGTCTGTGTAACTCATAAAATGATGCATTTGTATTCCCTGTGTGTACAGGGCAAGTGTTTAATTGAAGTGCTTCCCTTTGTGTTAAGGTTATTTTTAAGAAGCTGTAGCTTTAAATCTCAGAAGCTGTGCATAGTCTGCTGCAGTTGATGGGCAGATCCTGTGCAGTGTAAATCTAATTAAATATAGTAGAATCATTATAGCTTTGCCTGGTAATTTTTTTTTGCCTTTTAGTATTTTGTGAGTTTAGAACACCTTGGTTGTTCTTGGGTATTTATGAAGAGGCTACTTTTCCAATCAATAGAGTAGGTTATATTTCTAAAATCTTTAAAGCAAAGGAGGAGAGTCCCAGTTTTGGCAGCTAGCTATCTGTTAGGCTGAGCCAACAGTCACAGGGTATAAGCTCTGTAGCTGGTGAATTTGATGTCTGCTTGCGGGGCTGTAGTCAGCAGCCTGTGACAATATTGAGAAGGAGAGAAAATGAATGTAACGCATGCTTTGCCTCAATTTTTTTCAGATACTGGCCAGAAGAAGAGCCTTGATAAGAAAGATGGGAGACGAATGTCTTTTCAGAAGCCTAAGGGAACTATAGAATACACAGTAAGTCACTGTTTGGCTACATAACATACAACAGAAATATTTCAAGATATGGTTAACAGGTTCCAAAATACTGTCTAGGAAAAAGAATGGTACATATTATCTTTGGTTTGGTTTGTCTGTAGGTCTGGCAGGAAACTGATCATCTTAATAAGATTGAGAAGAAGTATTTTGATTGTTTTTGTTTTTTTAGGAATTATGCAAAATAATTCATAGAGGCAATTTTTAGCCTTCCCAGTATTACTGTGAATGTTATGCAATAACCGGAAAACAGCAAAGCATTGCTTTGGCCAACACATTATTTTGCTTTCAGGAGAGAATCAGATCTTCAGATTTCATACTGTTTCTCAAGCTTTCAACCATTTTAGTGGTCTTTGAATATAGGTGAACATAATCCATTTTAGCAATGTTTTTGAAAACATTCTCAAATTCTTCTAATTATTTTCATGGATTTATTGCTACTTCAGAGCACAGTTCTGTTTTTCCCAGCAATATCTGAAAATGGAGCTATGTTCTTCAAATGACCCTCAAACAGTGCTGCAGTCAGTGTTCATATTTCTGGTTACTAAGGGAAACTGAATTGAGAAATGTTTTGTTCTATAATGCCTATATAAGTATGATTCTAAATATGTAATATATAAATAGGCACGTTGATTTACAGTGTGATTTTCAAATATAACTGCTTCATTTGAAGTAAACCAAGTATTGCACATTGTAAAAAGAAAGTAGTCAGGAATAGCATCTATATGCACAATGAATAAGTTTTTGTAAATGTTTTAATAGCGGAACAAACTCCTCTGAAGTTTCACTGCCAACTTTCTATCAGTGGTTGGAATTGCAGAAAAATATAATCAATTTATAACCATGAAATGTTATTAGGAAGTGAATTGGTTCATTCTTTTAAGTAAATTACTGGAGTAAACAGTGTGGTGAAAACTAGTGTATCTGCTATTAGCCTTCCTTCTGTGTTTTAACAAAATGGCTTTGGACGTTTTACATGAATTACGCACATTCAGCTACTCTGAGCCTCTGCAGATAGCCTCTGCCTAATGTGATATAACTTTGCATCTGACTTTATCAGTAAATATAAATGAAAAAAATGTTATGATGGTAATATGGTAAAGACTTGCTGTATATTAGTGAATATGTTTGCTTCAGTTGCACTTTGTTGGAGGAGGGTGTTAATTAGGTTGTAGTAGCAGGCCTGGGTTAATACTAAACATATACATTGATTAGGATTTTTAGTCACAAAATAATATAATCCCAATTGATTATTTTTCAGCAGAGAGCAATTATCATTAAAAATATCACAAACTGGCTGCTGAAATTAGCATAGCTTCAATGGCTTATATGTCAAGTGGTTTTGACCCAGAAGAGGTTGTGCAAAGTTGTAGATGCCTATACTTTAAAAGTTCATTGAACTTGCAAGCCTCTGTAGAACTCTTGAGTTGAGCATCTTATAAAATATAATTTGTATCTCTCAGCCAACATCTTTAGAACAAGCATGAGCCCCTAAAGCTAGGGTGGACAAAGTACATACCCTGGGGAAAGAAACTCATATCACAATTTCAAATGGCACCACTAGGAAGCCTCTGGGGTGCTCAGTTTCATTTTAAGAGTAATTCCTGTTCCTCCAACTTGTTTTATCTTAAATCCAAAATATACTCTTTTTTTAGAAATTACAAATATTGCCCTCAGAGGTCTCGGAGAAGGGGGGGAAATGGCTCCTGAACCCTACAAACTTGTGCATCCTTGCCACAGTCAAAGTCCATAATAAGTAATTTCATATAATTAGTTCAGATTTTGTACACAGTGATATTGTTGTTCAGTATGCTAACATATACATGCAGTTTGGTAAGATAGCATTTGTAGGAACTAAAGCTATAGGTATGTTGTTCTTTTTCTACACGTACACCATAAGTAATTCAAATCACTTTAAGCAGCCGTTTGCAGCACAAAGATGCCACAAATAGTAATGTGGCTAGAATTAGTGTTTCATTTAGGGTGCTAATTTAAAAGGATGTTTCAGATGGCTTAAACATTTAAGCGTGATGTCATGATTTAGGTTTGCTTTTATATGATTCTGAAAAAAGTACAATATCTATAGACAATACTTCCCATTACTGGGTCCCTTTAAGTTGTGAAATTTATCAAAGAACATTGTCTACAAAGAGAGTACTTAATATGTGTTCATTTGACATTTGTTACTTGCATTTGCATCCTTCCTTACAGGAAGAGCAGGGCAATGCGATTTATTTCTGCTCCTTGTCCCTTTAACAATCCTGTACATTAAATTAAGTTTGCTTTGATCAAAGGCATTGAAAGTGTCCCAGCTGATGTGGAGCTTCTGATCTGTGGTCTCCTTAGCTGAACACTGTTTTTTGCACTATATTGTTCACTTCTTATAATTATGTGTGCCAAATGTTTTTGCCTTATTCTTGAATCCATATTCAATAGCCTTTGTCACTTCATGTTCTCCATTACAAAAACACTGGCTTCAGTGAGGTTTAATGTCAGCAAAATATTACAGACATTAGTGATTCAGCAGAAAGTTGGCAGATTTGACATCTGCTTGCCACTCAAAGTTTTGACCTTACATTTTCCCTGTAAATTATGCACAATCTGTCTAAATACCCTTGAAACATATTGTAACTGAGGAAAAAATAATCTCTCCTTTTAATGGTAATAGGTCCTCTGAAATATAACACTTGTAATTCTTGACATGTAGTTGTAATATGAGTCATACATGGTTACAATTTAGTTAGGTATTGACAAAGTGATGTCTGAGTTTAAGGCCATGTAATTCCACATTATCCTCATTTTCTGATGGCGAGCAGTGTACAGTATATTCCTCTGTGCCCGCCCCCCTTTTTTGCATCTTTAAGATGTCTAGAGAGCCTCTATTGTGTTGTTATAGCAAAATACATGTTGAATTAGGATCACTACCTTCCTATTTGCAAATTGGGAATTAATGCTATACTGTACTTACTTTTTACCAAGCTCACGAGGGAAACCTTTTGCAACCAAGCAGCTCTGTAAGAATACAGAATAAAAGACAGCTATACACTGCTTATAAGATCTGGAGAAAATTATTAGGTTAGCAAGCTAAGTATTCATTACGTTGAACTTTGGGCATTTTAGGCTTAATTCAAATCCAAGTTTGTTTATTTATTTATTCACTTGTTCTAAGAAGAATAACATTTAATACTGTGTGCCTGGATTTTGTTTGTGTGTTTTATTAATGTTTCCTTATACACTGAGATTCAGTGTATTGTTTTTTCATTTCCAGATGCAAATTGTTTTATACTTGTTCTGCTTTCCTCCTCTGTCTTTAGCAGATCTAAATCTTCCAGAAATGCTTTTCTAGATTCGTATTTCTGAAAAAAAGAATAGAAACTAAGGTCACAATTTCAAACAGATTATAAATAAAACTTGAATATGATGTGCAAACTGTATATATCATATTTTAACAGGTTGAATCAAGAGATTCTCTGAATACTGTTGCCTTGAAGTTTGATACAACCCCTAATGAACTCGTTCAGTTAAATAAGCTGTTTTCCAGAGCAGTTGTTCCTGGACAGGTATTACCTTTTGTATATCATAAACTAAGAACAGATAAAGTAGATATTTTCCATTGTTCCTGTGGGGAAAAGGGGCCTAATCATACTCAATCTAACACTGATAAAGCAAATTCTGCCTTCAGCTGGAATCATGTACTTTGTGTATAATGATTCAGACTTTTGGTTGGAGCAGGATATATCAGGAGTAGACATGGTATATAACTGTGACTCCAAGCTTGTTTTTCTGATTTAAATGGAAACAGGTCTGACTTAGCAAGTTGGTCAGAATATGTCAGCATGAGTCACTAAAATGGAAGGAGGTGAGAATAAATTCTTGCTACTGTTATTGGTTGTCCTGAAAAAATGTAAAATGTGACCATGTTATCCATTCCTAGAGGGAAATTCTGGATTTGGAAATACATTTATTGGATTGCTAAGAAGTTACAAATAAGGCAAGTGTTTAAGTTATGCAGAACTCTTCATCTGGCAGAGGCCGTATAAGATATCTGAACTTGAAACAATGGAGTTTCTGCTTAAACCTCATGGTATTGTCATACCCAGAACTTGTCCTGATTGCTTTCTTTGTCTAGAAGGACAAAGAAAGTACACAGATATTATTGAGCCCTGGAAATTTTGTATTCTTCAAAGTCTTGTTAGAAAAATATGATTTTTTTCAAGCTACCATGTTTTTCCGAAAATAAGACAGGGTCTTATATTACATTTTGCTCAAAAAAAAACCCCCCTCAAAACAGGGCTTATTTTCAGGGGTTGTTTTATTTTTTTCATGTACAACAATCTACATTTATTTAAATACAGTCATGACATCTGGTTGCTGCACAATGCGGCACAATAGTGGAGGGCGGGGTTTCACTTAACTGGGGCTTATTTTGGGGGTGGTAGGGCTCATATTACAAGCATCTTGAAAAATCATACTAAGGCTTATTTTCAGGTTAGGGGTTATTTTCAGGGAAACAGGATACCTTAAAATGAGGGGAAAGGGGATATAGAAATCTTTTATTGAGGTAATGTATCATTATTGTACTGCAACCAAAGAGCAAATCCCTAGCTTTTGTGGCCACAGATTTGCTTTCAATGAGAGTAAATGTAAACCCATGAAAGTAAATGTGGGGGAAGCAGACTGAGGAGTAAGTATACAGGATAAGATAGGCTCAGTTAACAGGATTTTACTTTGATCAGATAAAATATTGTTCACTGTAAATATGCATGGAAGGGAAATTATAGAAGCTGATTATGAGTTGCGTATCATGCAGGCAACATGTGACCAGAATCTTGTCAACTAACTGCAGCACCTTCTACAACAAGGCAAGGAATATATTTCCGTTTTTGTTATTAATGTATAAATCTGATGACATCCTCAACATATTTTTTTATTAGATTTTATATGTTCCTGATCCAGAATATATTTCTAGCGTGGACAGTTCTCCTTCAATTAGTCCTATAAGTCCTTTGTCACCTACATCTTCAGAAGCAGAGGCTGAGAGGACAGCAAAAAGTGTAAGTGGATATATCCTCATAGAAGAAAAGGAAATTGACTACCATTAGCATCCCTAAAGATGTCCAGAAGAGAGTTTTTAGATTCCACTCCTCTAATCATAACCAAGATGTCTTGATGCTAAAAACTATTTCAGCAAACAACTTATTTTTCTGAATGGAGAGGGATTTACTTTGGAGAGAGGCTTTTTCTTTAATATATTGCATATACTGTATATTAACATGCATCTAGAAAATAAAATGGATTTCCTGTCAAATTTTATGTAGAGATAGAAGTTGCTGAATATTGAACTTTAGGTTAACTATTTTATTATACAACTACATTCTTTGAAGCAGTAATATAACAGGATTTTTGTCATTTCTTATATGTAGTTACCATTTATAACACAGTTGAGCTGCCCACTATTTGATATTTGGGCCTGTGCTTCATCCAGAGGGACATCTCAGAGCACAGTTTAACTCCTTTCCATAAACCAGAATCCATAAGAATTACTTGCTGTTTACTTCAGTTGCAAACTAATGAAAATGTATGTTTTGAAGCATAGTCTGAGGAACATTGCATATGCTTTACTGAATGTTTTTATAATTCATTTTTATGCTAGAGTTACAAACATGACAACCTGACCCTTTGGCTATAGGTTTGCAGTTTCATACTCATCTAACATTGTCTGGTAATTTTAGCCATTTAGTAGTCATTTTATACTCTTAGTCATCTGTGGTTCCTGTGAGTTGAGCAAGATTGCATTTCAGAACCTACAAGAAGGTTGTTTTTTTATCAATGTTCTTGTCATTTGTAGGATTCAGATGGGGTGCACTGCAAAGAAACAACACCCACACCAGCTCACACATGTGTTCGGCCTACAAGAATAGTGTCATCTACATCAGAGGAGGAAGAAGCTTTCACGGAGAAATTTCTCAAAATTAATTGCAAATATATAACGAACAACAAGGTAGAGAAGTCTCTACTTCCTGCATAAAATATTGTTATACTTCACCAGTTGGAGGGCTTTCCGTTTATTGAAATGGAAGCAAATTGTGGTAACTAATTCACACCTATTAAAATTTCGTTAACCTTAATGCTATGAAAGCTATATGTTTATAAACAGTAGTAGTTCTGAGTTTGAAAAAATACATCAAAATGTCCAGAAAATAAGATTCATTGGGCAACTGATAAACAATGCCAAGGTAACCACCGTTTTCATTATGGATTGAATAATCTTTCCAAACCTGGAAGTTGAGTCACGGCAACTGGACTTCTTATTAGGTTGAAACATTTTGCTAATTATCCAAGTAACTTCTTCAGTCTGAGGAGAGTTGGTAGGAGACCTCTGATATATCCTCCACGTTGGTTTCACTTCCCCTTGTCTGAATAGGCTTGTCAGATGGACAAAGGAGAGGGGTGAGTGAAAATCCCATTTCTGCAGTCCTTCTCCATCCATTGTCATGGTTGTTAACAGTTATTAAGAGTGGTGTCTTTGGTGTGAGGGACGTGGTGGCGCTGCGGGCTGAACCGCAGAAGCTTGTGCTGCAGGGTCAGAAGACCAAGCAGTCGTAAGATCGACTCCACGCGATGGAGTGATTGCCCGTCGCTTGTCCCAGCTCCCGCCAACCTAGCGGTTTGAAAGCATACAAATGCAAGTAGATAAATAGGGACCACCTTTGTGGGAAGGAAACAGCGTTCCGTGTCTAAGTCGCACTGGCCATGTGACCACGGAAGATTGTCTTCAGACAAAACGCTGGCTCTATGGCTTGGAAACAGGGATGAGCACCGCCCCCTAGAGTCGAACACAACTGGACAAAAATTGTCAAGGGGAACCTTTACCTTTAACTCTGGTGTGTGGTCCTGATCTTTCTGGCTTCGGATGAAAGGGCAGCATGATAAATAGGAGACAGATTGTATCTAAGGCTTCCTCCTACTTTGAGAGGGATTTGCTGTATGCACATATATGGCCTCCCTGACCCCTCTCTCAAACCACCTATCTTCTGGGTCCAAAATGGGTACGTCTTAGTCATCAAATGTCCTTTGTCCTTCAGATGAAGGACCTTAGATACAATCTGTCTCCTATTTATCATGCTTTCCTTTCATCCATCCCCAGAAAGATCAAGCATTCACCAGAAAGACCACTGTTAATGACTGTTAACAACCCATGACAATGGGTGGAGATGAACTGCAGAAGTGGGATTTTTACTCACTCACTCTCTCTCTCACACACACACGCTTTGCCCATATAATGAGCCTATTCAGACCAAGGGGAAGTGAAACCAACGTGGAGGATATTTCAGGGGTCTCCTACTTTCTTCAGACCGAAGAAGCTACTTGGATGAGTAACAAAAGGTTTCAGCCTAATAAGAAAGAAGTCCAGTTGCCATGACTCAACTTCCAGATAACGTCACTTGGATGACTGAGAATCTTCACAGATATCTCTCCAAACCTTCCTTCATAAAAAACTAAGAATGTGGAAGGTTGGTAATGTCCAGTGTCCATCAAAGCATCTTATACAGTGGTGCCTTGCATAACGATGTTAATTGGTTCCGGAAAAAAAACCGTTATGTGAAAACATCATTATGTGAAGCACCATTTCCCATAGGAATGCATTGAAAACCGGTTAATCC